CCCCAAAACCCCAAAACCCCAAAACCCCAAGTGTTTTTGAAAAAATTTAAAACATTTTTAAGGAAAGAAATCAAACTGTTGGTAAGGCTTGATCTATATAAAATAGCTTGTTCATTAATTTAACATATTAGAGAAGTTTTAGTAAGAATTAAGCCTTGCTATGCTACTTTGGGTTTAAATATTTCTTTAAAACAGTTGATAAATTACCATATTAGAGTTCTCACTCCTTCTGTTGAGATGCGAAACTCAGATTTATAGTTAAACGTAATAGTTTGTCTTAAACTAAGTATATTTTATTATGATAGTTTACCCAAATGTCTTCAGTTAAAATTGTCTAAAGCTGGGGAATCATTTAAAGGCGAACTTTCTCTCTCAAATCGCTGGAAATTTAGGCTATATCTATCTCTAAATCAGCTGAAAATAATGCAGATTGGTTCTAAATATTTTTAATCAGCTCTTTATAGTAAATCTAATTTATTCATCTACTTTTCAGAGGATTTATTTTACGTTACCATATAGCATGCTTAAAAGATAAGAAGGCACGGGCCTAGCCATGTAGGTCTCTGTGTAATAAACTGTGCAGGTTTACCCAAAATGCATAGTGAAATTTATAGAAATTAGTCTAAAAGAGTCTCACTGGTAAAAGAAATCAGTGAGCAGCCAGACCTATTTAAGTTATGAAGAGAAATAGACATATTTCATAATCGATGAATTTTGGCATACATTAATAAAGAGTAACGTCATTCTTAAGCTTGACATAACTGGTGATGAAGCCAGGTAAGTCACTGGTCAGTTGTAGCTTGGTGATGTCATATTCCTCAAAGGCTCAGCCTCCATAATCTTGGCTCAGCTGGTATTGGTTGAAATATTCTAGTAAAGAGGCAACATAGAGCTCGTCGTGGTAAACAACACCTTTTTGTCTCAACTCGTGGATCATATGTGTTGTCTCAAGTTCAACTTTTATTAAATGAATCTTGGTCATTTTGCAAGGGTAGTGCTTGTTAATCACATCCCAGATCGAATTAAAGTAAAAATTAGCTGAGTCTAAATCTATCTTCTGGTGGTCACAATCGACTATCATTGTGAATGTGGTATTGAATCCGAGCTCTTTCAACTTCTTGTTGCAAGTCTCGAAGCAGTATACCATGTAGTCAAGGTAATTAGTCATCCTGATTGCAGATTCCTTCGCATCATAGAAATTCCCCAATTTTGAGAATGGCTTAAAGTAGAAACATGGGTTCATGTCTTTATCCGATCCATAGAGATATATCCGCTCTGAGGTTAATGGAAGGGTCAGAAGGGCAGTCTCAAAGGGAAATTTCTTCTTCCTCCAACTAATATCTTTTGTGATTAATCCAATAACCTCGTCGATGTCTCACTTGTTAGCAACAAGGAAATTTCTGATGGTTTTGAAGTCATATCTATCAATGTTTGAATAATCTTCAATTTTAGTCTTTGAAAGAGCTTTGATCACTTCTAGAACCTAAAATCCAGGTGAGAGTTGTTCGGTTATGACTTAGAAGTTTGGTGTAGAGGGGCTGCAACAGAAAGAAATTCCTACCTGTTGATCTATCTCCTTCTTATAATCCTCTTCTCTGTTTTGATCGAAGAAGTCTACTTTATAATTCACATGGGATAGACTTGGTATAGCTTCCATTGTCATCCTTGGCTTATTTTGTATTCTGAACTTGTTCTAAAGGATTGTAAGAAAACTGAGAGGCGGTTAAAATTCTTCAGAGACCCAAGAGAGTCGTCAAAAAATTTCAAAATTGGATGAAGAATACCTTCATTAACTTTTGATAATTTTCTAGGCTTATTTGCCGGCTTCTTTTTCTTCTTCTCTCTATTTAGGTGCTTTAACCTGGATATAATTCTTATCTTCTTCATCTTTCCATGACTTTTGCCTTGCTTCGATTTTGTCTTGAGCAGCAGGGGAGGTGTCTCGCTCGAATAAGGTAGGAGTATCTATGATATTCTTGAATTTAGTCCTCCGGTCCTCTTCAGTCATATCATACTCATTCTTCCTACTTTCGGCACATCAAACAGCAGTACCCATTTCAATTATTATTTAAAGTTTAGGGGTTTTGGGGTTTTGGGGTTTTGGGGTTTTGGGG